ATGTGTCTCTCTGGCCCTCTAGGAAGAAAAATAAACAAGAATCCTTGACATGTTTTTTTCTAGGTTAAAGGAATCTTACCCTAATTTCCCTCTTTGATTTGCTATAGGGTGCATGCGCTCACCAAAGAGCAGCAGTGAGAGAGGGAGTCAGGGAGGTGAGAGACCAGTCCCCAGGGGAAGGCCACACCACAGTTCTTTCTCCTCTCCTCCTCTCAGAATTTCAGACACACACACTCAGTGTGTCTTTCAAGTCTCCAGGTCTAGGACTTGAACTGCCAGTTGGCCATGGGATCCAGCCACTCCATCACCATGCCATCGGCTGGCCCTCTTGTCTCTCTCTTCATTTTCTTTGAATTTTATTTCATTCATGATAGGGAGCACATAATGTGCACAAGACGGAAGACGGGAGGGCGAGGGAGTGTGACGAAGAGACCGGGGAAAGAGCACGCTCAGCAGGGTCTCCTCCTGCTGTGATCCCTTTCCCCTCTCCTCCATCTTTTCAGGATCTTGGGCATATGCACAGGCTCCAAGCATGTTTCCCAGCGTGTTCAGACCCCAGGGGTCTGTACCAGAGGTCAGCTGTGTGCCATCAGCACTGCAGTTCAGTGTGTTACTGACTAAGCCACCAGGATGGGCCATCACTCTTACATTTTATATTGAATAATGGCTTGGTTAAAATAAGTAGATCCAAACTTGAAATTGCCTCACAAGTCAGTTTTCTTATGTAGATACTCACCACACCCTGAATTATAAGCTAGGTATGTCTTCACAATTGAAAAAGGAGGGGCCAGCAGATGGCCTGGTGGTTAAGGTGCTGGACTCCCACACCCCTGACTGGCAGATCTAGGACCTGAAAATCATGCTGAGTGTATGTGCCTGCATACCCAAAATCCCAAGAGGAAAATAGAGAAGAGACTGGCATGGCCAGTCCCCTTTGGGGGGTGATTTCTCACTTTCTCACTCTCTGTCTCTCTCTCTCCAGTGAGTGCACACACCTTTTGGCAAAAAATCTGATGAAAAAATAAAACAGGAGACAGCAGACAACATAGTGGTCACATCACTCGACTTCCACATGGCCAACCATGGTTCAAGTCCTGGACCTGGTAGCTTGAAAAATCACGCTGGACACCTGTGCATGTGTGCCCACAGTCCTGGGAAGAAAATGGAGGAGAAAGGGTTACAGCTCTCCAGTGAGTGCACACACCTTTTGGCAAAAAATCTGATGAAAAAATAAAACAGGAGACAGCAGATAACATAGTGGTCACATCACTCCCACAGTCCTGGGAAGAAAATGGAGGAGAAAGGGTTACAGCTGGCCATCCCCCATGGGGAATGATTTCTCACTTTCCCTCTCACTGTCACCCCCCTCCAAGGCTTGTAAGCATGTGCCCTAAGGGAAAAACCTCTTAAAAACAAACTAAACCAGTCAAGTGAGGAGTCAGCCCTGGTTGTAAAGTTCTGAGTTTGTGCCTAAGACATTTGCCATGATCATCTCTGAGCTACAACTCCGTCATTGTTTGCTGAATATTCCAACCATCGGTGCAGGTGAAGCCCCTTTGTCCTGCGGAATTTGAAAACAGGTATTGTTTAGATCTAATATTTCGGATGACTTTGCAGTCGCAGGTAACGGGTCTGATCTTGTATTTCAGCTCAAACAGCTATGACTGCACCAAAGACATGGAAGAAACCAAAAGATCGAATCCGAACCACTGAAGAAGTATTAGAGGCAGAATTGGAGGTAAGAGGCAGCAGCAAGTCTGCCTAACTCATCTTCATGGAGGTGGTGCCATTTCGTAAGATAGATGTGGCTTTACACCTTTCTCAGGATTTTGTTTTCCAAGTAAAGTTTCCTATATCAAGCTAAGAGCCTTATTTTTTTCCCCTGCTATAGGGCATATTCACTTGCCAGAGAGGGAACCTGAGAAATAACCCCCAGGGGAGATGCCCAGGCCACTGTCCCTTCTCTTCTATTGTCTGGGGATTTGGGGCCAGTGTGCGCACACACACACGGGCCCAGCATTGTTTCTAGCATCTTTTTTCTTTTTTAAGAATTATTTATTTTATTTTGTTATTATTATTATTATTTTATTTTACCAGAGAGAGAAAAAGAGAAAGGGAAAGTGAAAAAGCAAGCCTCCAGGTCCGTCCGGTACTTGAACCAGTCGGCTATGTGGGAGTCCAGCATTCCAATCACCGCACCAGTTGCTGGCCCAGGATCCAGCATCTTAACTTCCATGCCACGTACTGACCCAAAAGCCTAATTTTTTCAAGTCTATTTACAGTAGAATTTTAAAATTTTATTTATTTTTTTACCATGACCAGAGAGATGAAGAGAGGAAAACTGAGAAAGCAAGCCACCAGGTCTGCGACTTAAACCACAATTGGCCACGTGCAACTGTAGCACCTAGCCATCATGCCACCTGCCAGCCCATACAGGAGTTTTATTCTAAAGAACATACTTTATTTTGGGGGGCCAGCAGGTGGCATGGTGGTTAACAGCACTGGACTCCCACCATGGCTGACTGTGGTTCCTGCCTTAGGTTCAAGTCCCAACCTGGCAGCTTGCTTTCTCTCTCTCTCTCTCTCTGTTTCTCTCTCTCCCTCTCACTCTGTCCTTCTCTGGTCCACTTTAAAATAAATAAATAAATAAATAAATAAATAAATAAATAAAGTTAAGAAAAATAATTCTTTAAAAAATTTATTTTTCATTTCCCAAAAGCGTTAAAATAGCACACAGCATAATAATTTAGCACAGGGACCAGCAGTTAACATAATGGCTATGTCGCTGGACTCCCAGGTAGTCGACCGCGGTTTGCATCCTGGACCCGGTGACTTAAAACTCAACGTCAGTCACGTGTGTGTGTGTGTGTGTGTGTGCCCAAGATCCCGAGAGGAGAATGGAGAAGGGATTGCGGCGTGACCATCCCCCCTGGGGGGGTGATTTCTCGCTTTCTGTCTCTCTGTCTCTCTCTCTCTGTCGGGCGAGCGCACGCACCCTACAGCAAAAACCTCTCAAAAAAAATAATAATTTAGCACATATATAAGGTGATATATGCAATTAATAATCTCCAAAATGGTTGTTTTAGGTAAGTTTCACTTAGAGAGTCTTTAAAAACTCATGATCTTGGGGTCAGCAGGTGGCATGATGGTTAAGTCACTGGACTCTTACATGGCTGACTGTGGTTCGAGTCCCAGACCTGGCAGCTTACTTTCTCATTTCCCTTCTCTCTTTCTCTGATGAGTATGAGTGCCTGTAGGAAAATTTTTAAAACAATAATAAATAATTCTTTTCAAACAAACAAACAAACAAACTCATGAACTTAAGGGACCCAGTTATTAAGGGACCAGATCTGTTGCTTGGTGCTTAAAGCAGCTAGATCCCATATGAACAGTGTCATGAATGAAATCCAGGCCCTGGCAGCCTGAGAAACACTGGGCATGTATATGTGGGTGCCTACATCCTGTAAGGAGGGAGAGATGGGAGAGATGGGGTTGTGTGTGACCATTCCTGTGGGGGGGGTGCTTTCTCCTTTCTCTCTCTACCTGTCTCTTTTCTTTCTCATGATCACATGCACCCTCTAGCAAGAAAAAAAAGAAAAAGTTACTAACAACAAAAATAGTTATAAGAGAAATCTTGGTATAAAAGATCTCTCAGTTCTTCTAACCTGGGAACATTTTATTAGGGATGTGCTTCTCTATAGCTGAGCTATTGGGTTATCAGTAAAAGTACATAGTTTTTCTGTGCAAAAATGCAACATGACTTTCTGACACCCCAGTATATCAGTTGGTCTCAATCGTATTTAAGTTAACAGTGCTATGGTTCCTAGTCTGAGAAAGTCATTCAGAAGATAACTTTAATATTGCAAGTCCCTTGGTAGAGCCTCCATTTAAACTGTATTACCAGGTGGTGGAAGTAAAGGGGTAGGTATAAGAAATCAAATTTTGCTGCAGACCAAAATTGCTCTACAGCATCCAGAAATGGCAACATCTTACTGTGAACTCCTCACGGCTTAGTCAGAGTGTAGTGGAGTAGGCTTTGCAAATGTTCACCTTCATCAGATGATAAAGAGACAAAGTGTAAAGACAAGCAGTATCTGGAACAGTGGCTCTTCAAAGGAGATAATGAGATTCACAAACAATTTCATGTTACATCATTATGTTTTAGTCTGAATTTAGATAGGATAGATCAACTTTCTATAAAATGATTTCCCAATTCTAAATGTCTTTTAAGCACAATTTAAAATATGCTCATACATTTCCTTCTGCATCAGATAAGTTTTAGTGAATTTAAACTTAATTTACTTTGGTCATACGAATCTAAGTAGGGACTTAACAGCTAACACTGCTTAGATCCAGCCTTAATATGAAAGAAATCATTCTAATATTGCTTTTAAAATTAATCTATTTTTATTTTTCCCCTTGTACCTCTACTATGGCATAATGAGTTTACTATTTCAAAATATCTTAAAGCTGGACCAGCAGATGTCATAGCTATTACATCGCTGTCCTCCCACATGGCTGACTGTGGTTCAAGTCCTGGACCCAGTGGCTTGACTCTCACGCCAGGAGTGTGTGCATGCGTGCCCAAGATCCCAGGAGGAGAAGGGATCATGGCATGGCCATCCCCCTGGAAGATGGTTTCTTGCTTTCTCTCTCACTGTCTCTGTCTCTCTCTGGTGAGCACACAGGCCCTAGGGCAAAGACCTCTTTTAAAAAATAGTAAAATGTCATGAAGCCAAGCCCATTGTGATGCCTTGGTTAAGGTGGCTGAATCCCACATGGTTGACTGCAACAGTTCAAATCCTGGATCCCCGGCAACTTGAAAAACATTCTGGGTGCCTATGTGTGCATACCCAAAATCCCAAAAAAGTGGAGAAGGCCATCCCCCCAGGGGGTGATTTCTCACTTTCTCTCTTCCTCCTTCTCTCTGTCTCTGTCTTTTCTTTTTTTTGAGCATAAGTGCCTTATAGCAAATTAAAAAAAAAAAAAAAATCACATACCCAGTAACCCAGGTGTTATCTGCAGGTCATTTGAGGTAATTTTTTCTCTTGCAAGCATTTTCTTGTTTTCTTTCGCTTTCTCTGAAAGTCAAAAAAAAATCTTTTTTGTCTCATTATTCAGAAGCTTAGTAACATAATGTAACTGAACTCTTGTCTTTGTTTCAAATACCTCTACCAAAGTGGCAGACATTTGGTTACCAACTCCCTCTCCCAGTTAAGTTTTTCTTTGTATTAACCTGTTAGAATAATCTGGTGAATAAAAACGGAGAGATTTTTAAAAATACTCATGTGCTGAGGACCAGCAGTTGGCATAATGGCTATGTCGCTAGACTCCCACGTAGTCAATCGTGGTTCGAGTCCCAGACCCAGTTCCTTAAACTCACACCGGGTGCATGTATGTGCGTGCCTAGGATCCTGAGAGGAGAAGGGATTGCTGTGTGGCCATTCCCCCTGGGGGGGTGATTTCTCACTTTCTGTCTCTCTGTCCCTTTCTGCCTTTCTGATGAGCGCACATGCCATATAGCAAAAATGTCTCAAAAAACAACAACAACAACAACAACAAACACTCATGTCCCAGCAGGTGGCATGGTGGTTAAGGTGCAGGACTCCCATGTGGCCTACCGTGGTTCAAGTCACAGGGATGGTGGCATGCTTTCTCTCTCTCTCTGGTCAAATTTTTAAGATAATAATAATAAGTAAATAAAATTAAATAAATAATTCTTAAAATACTCATTAGTCAGGTGGTAGAAACCATTCGATATATTTTAGTAAAGTCTGTACGTCCATGTGTCCATCCATCCTTCCTTCCATTTTTTTCAGAGGGTGCTTGTGCTTGCCAGAAAGAGACCAAGAGACAGAGATGGAGGGAAGAGGAGAAAGCACCCCTCCAGTGGGACGTGGTCATAGTAAAATTCTTTCACCTCCACTCTCTATCTTGTCAGGATTTGGGACATGTACGCACATGTGCTTGGCATGATTTTCAGGCAACTGGGGCCAGGACTCGAACCTGTGGTCAGCCATGTGGCATTTGGCTCTCTTAACCTCTAGGCCATGGGACTGGCTCTCAACAGTCATAGTTTTATAAACTAAAGCTTATCAATGAAGACTAGTACAATTTGAATATAGGTTTTTTTTCTTTTAAAAGTATTATTATATATACTTGATTAAAAATAATTTTTATTAATGGTTTGAATTATTAAAATGTAAAAATTATTTTAAGGTAACTTAAATGCATTTACTTCATAAGACTTTTCTAGCTAGTTATGATCCTTACCCTTTTCAAGCAGTTAACAGTAACCTCTCATTACTCCCTGTCCTGCCACTGCTCTTTCATGATACTTTGTTGATGTCACAGTTAGTCCCATAGCAACCGCTAAAGTGCTGCATAGGTATGGTTTCATTGTGGCTCTCAAGGGTAAGGTCTGGCAGTAAGTTATAGAGGTGCACATAGTTGCAGCTTCCTTGCATCTGAACCAGAAAATGTTGCTCCTAGACAGAGTAAAGTATCTTCCAGAGGCAGGAAAGTCACATACATTCCTGGTATGGCTGTAAGAGCTTCATAAACTGGTGTTTCTTTAGATTCAGCTGGTTTTCATTACTTTCCTTTTGCTATACTTCATGTTCCTTTGCTCTGTGGCTAGATTTCTAGATATTATTGAATATTAAATAGATAGGCCACCACTCTTATGCTTTCAGATATTCATCCTGTTCTTTAGCATTGGGGATCAGCAAACTTGTGTCTTTAAAGATCCAGAGTGTGGGGCCAGCAGGTTGCATAGTGGTTAAGGTACTAGACTCCCATTTGGTTGACCATGGTTCGAGTCCCAGGCCCGGTGGCTTAAAACTCATGCTTGGGCACATATATATGCATGCCCAAAATTCTGAGAGGAAAATAGAGGAGAAGGAATTATGGCATGACCATCCCTCCTGGGTGGTGATATCTCACTTTTTGTCTGTCTTTCTGGCTAGTGCACACATCCTACAGCAAAAATTTCCCCTCCACCAAAAAAACATGCAATGTATAACTGTTTTAACTCTTGTTACCTGCATCATCCTTATAACAGTTCCTCAGCACTGCCTCTGTAGGTCAGAAACTGCCAACAACAATATGTTAAAATTTTTAAAAAGTAGAGCTGTATTCCAGTAAAACTTTATTTATAAAAACTGAAATTTGAAATATGTCATGAAATATTCTTCCAGTTGTTTTCAACCTTTATAAATGTAAAAACAAAAACCATTTTTACCTTTCTTGCTGTGCAAAAAGAGGTGGTGAGCCAGAATTGTCCCATAAGCCACAGTTGGCTATCAGACTGTTTCATCAGCTTGTTATTCTTGAAACGTTGTAACACTCTAGATTCATTTTGAACGAATGAGTCACTTTTTTTCTAGTAAAGGTTTTCGTCTTAGGGTACATGCACTCTCCAGAGAGAGAGAGAGAGAGAGACAAAGACAATGAGAGGGAAAATGAGAAATCACCTCCTGGGGAGATGAGTTGCAGTCTCTTCTCTCCATTCTCCTCCTGGGACCTTGGGCACACACGCACATGTGCCCAGTGTGAGTTTCAAGCCACCGGTTCTGGGACTTAAACTGTGGTCGGTCATGAGGGAGCAGAGATATCACTACTACATCATCTGCTGACCCCTCACTTTTTTTTCAGCTTAATACTTTTAAAATAAGAGGGCCAGAGAGTGGCACAGCGGTGAAATATGATGCACTGTGCACTTGCCCGCCTGGGAAAGTTCTGGGTTTGTATCGGAGACTTCCCTAATTATGCTGGGTGTACGTGGGCTTGTGATACAGGACTGCCCGAAGGCTAAGGTGGACCACAGTGTCACAGTGTCGAGACCCTATTGAGAGTGCTGTCTTTCTATCTCTCTTACTCTTCGAAGAAATGGATGAATAAACTTAAAAATAAAAAAAAATTAAGTAAAATTAAAAAGTATTTGATCAGAGTCAGCTCCATGGCCTGATGATTAATGCACCCAGATCCTACATGGCCAGGTGTGTGGTTCGGTTCTTGGGCCTGATGGTGAGAAACGTGTGTGTGCCAGAAATTCTGAAAGTGGGGAGAGATCTTGGAGGAGAAGGGATTGTGGAGTGACCATGCTCCACATGGAATGCTTTCTCTTCTCCCTTTGTCTCGGTTTCTCTGGAAAGTGCACATACCTCTTAACAACAACAAAATATTTGGTCATTTGCATAGAAACTTCTTTCAGAAATTCTAGTCCCTGGCTCTTGCTAATACTGAGCATTTGGTAGAGTGGTTTAGTGAATACTGGGTGCCATGTCTTCATTTCCCCTGGTCAAGCTTTCTCTTTTTCTTCTTTCTTTTCTTGTATTGTTAGAGTGTGTGTATTCTTGCCAGAGAGAGGAGGGGAGAAAGATAACACCCTCCAGTATCACTGCCACAGTCCCAGTTTTCATTCTGTCAGGATTTGAGCCACGCATGCACACACACTTGGCATGTTTCTCAAGACACCAGGACCAGGACCTGAACTGTCTTCAGCCATGTGGGATCTAGTTCTCTCCACACAGGACTTAACCACTGTGCTATGGGGTCAGCCCAGACTTTCCCTCTCAGATTATTTTCTCAGACATGGGAATGTTTTTCAGGTATTGGCCTATTCTAGGTTTTACATTAGTATATATACATTTCTTTAATCCTTCACTTTGACCTGTCAGTAGCATGGTGCATAAGGCAGCTTGACCCCACTTGAATGTCTGTATGGTTCAAGTCCCAACTCCAGTGGCTTGAAAAACACACTGGGTACGTGTATGTGCATGCCCAAAATTCTAAGAAGAGGCTGGAGGAGGAGGAATTGCAGAGTGGCCATCGTCCTGGGGGTGCTTTCTTTCTTTCTCTCCAGAAAGCACATGCACTTAATAGCAAATTTAATTTTTAAGTTTTATTTCTTCTCTGAGTATGAAACAGACAGACTTCCAGCAAGATCTCAATACCATAATCCACCCCCAGCCTTAGCTTGCCCAGTCTTAGATCTTGGGTACATGCAAGCCCAGCATGTTATGGGAGGTTTAAGACCTGAGCCAGGAACCTTCCTATGGGAAGGCCTTGCAGGCCACCTCTTACTGCTGTACCACTGTCCTACCCCTATAATGAGTTTTTATATCATTATGCATATTTAATCTTATTTTTAAATTACAGTCTAGAAAATAATGTGAAAGATATAATTCACCTTAAGTTGCTGGTCAAGGCACCTTAACATTTATTTTAAAATTTTATATCTCATCAGTTGTTAAATACACAGTTGTCAAATTTTCTAACACTTTAAAAAGTGACCACGTTAGGCAAGTCAGTTTTTTCAAGTAAACTTGTCCTTCAGTAGGTTCCTGTAAAGGTTGGCCTTAGCACGTGGCACTGGATGCTGCTGCTGAGCAGGTGAAGCCACAGGGGACCCGGTTTTATTCTGACCTACCTGAAGAGGCCGAGTGTGTGGGCATGGGCCTGTGACTTGAGAGGCTGAGGCAGGAGGGCCTCAAGGGAGAGACACCCTTTCTGAAGAAAACACCAAACAGGCACCAGATGGTGACAAAGCAGTGAAGTGCTGTGCTCTACAAGGCAGTCCCATATATGGAGGTTTCAGGTTCAAGTCTGGAGACCTCCCTGGGTATGCTGGGTACATGCTAGTTCATGATTCAGAGCTGGTCGAAGGCTGGGGGGATCACATTGTCAGTGCCCTGTTACGGGTTCTCTCTCTGTGCCTCTGTCACTTGTGGAAGAGAGACATGAACTTTAAAAAAAAAGTAAGTCCCCCCCCCCCCGCAAGAAAGTGCGCCTTTGACTGTCTCGCCAATAAAGTGCTCTCTTTCTGCAATTTGGTTTTCTCAGCAGATAATTTAAGAACTGTTTTGCTAAACACTTAGACTAGGTGAATAGGGTTTAATCCTGCTGTGAAAGAAAAGTAATCTTTAACATTAAATTCAGCTTTCTAAATTCTGTTGTTGATTTTCTTAAAATGTCCCTTATGATAGTGTGACTGGACATGCTTGTTATTCATAGAACAAATCCTTTATACTTTTTTTATTTTTATTTATTTTCTAAGAGAGATTTTTGCTATCGGCACATGTGCTCGCCAGAGAGACAGACAGAAAGCGAGAAATGACTCCCCAAGGGGGATGGCCACACCATAATCCCTTCTCCATTCTCCTCTCGGGATTTTGGGCATGCATGCACACGCACCCAGTGTGAGTTTTTAGCCTCTGAGTCCAGGACCTGAACCGTGGTCAACTACATGGGAGTCCAGCGACACGACCATTACGATGACCATTACGCCATCTGCTGGTCCCTTTGTACTACTTTTTCCAGTTAGAAATTAATTTCTAAGTAATACACCCTCTGTTTATATGAGATAGATTTTCCGTTGTTGATTTTAGGTACAGAGAAGAGGACCCAATATATTTTATTCTCTAAAAGAGATTTTTTCCCCACATTCTACAGGATCTAAATAAGAATTCCATGTAATTGTGGAGTGTAGTAAGTTTAAATACCATTTACATACTCATGCCCCAGATTATTAAAGATCTTCTTGACAATCTGTATTTAATTATAAGATGTTTTTATAAGGCCATGATGAGTTAATTTAGACTATAGTGGAATAAGAAATTTTAAAAAGTGAGGCTGCTGCTTGATGGTTCAAATGTGGAGATCTGTTTTTCTCCAAATTTAAAATGTATTGGCTTTCTGCCATGTTTTATAAAAAGAAGTTTTCAGACTTTGTTTTCTTAGAATTTTATGTCTTTCTTTTGATGGTTTCCATAGACTGTCTTTACCAAGAGGAGATGGGGCAAGGAAGATGGTTTTGTAGCTGTTTGCATACCATTTAATGTCTTTTCCATGGTCTGATGTATAATGGAAGAAAATTTACTAGCATTATATCTATTGTATTCTCTTATGTAACAAAGTAGGATTTGTTACATTTCTTTTTCTTTCTTTTTAATTTGCTAGAGGGTGTGGGTGCTGACTGGAGAGAAAGGGAGCGTGCAGGAAAGCACCCCCCCCCATAGTAGGAGGGCTGTCCACATTTCAATTTCTCCTCCGTCTCTTATCTCAGGATTCTGGGCTTGCACATACGTGCCCAATGTGATTTTCAAGCTGCCAGGTCCAAGACTTGAACCATGCCATGCAACCACCTTAACCACCATGCCAGGGGTTGGCCAAACTTTTCTGAAAACATGATTTCATGAATTAATGGGAGTTAATCACTTCCTGGTATACATGACACTCTTTTTAGAGGTTTTTGCCTTATGATGTATGTGCTCGCTGGAGAGAGCGACAGAGACAGTGAGAGAGAAAGTGGGAAATCATCCCCCGGGGGG